ATAAACACATATGGGATGTAATGAAGACAAGGGAGACAGAGTTTTTTCAGTGGCGCCTTCTGGCAAGACTAGAGGCAATGTACGAAAACTGAAACACATGAAATTCCATCTGAACACAGGAAAACAATTCTTTAATATGAGGGTGCTCAAACACTGGAACAAGTTGTCCAGAGGTTGTGGAATCTCCATCTCTGGAGATATTAAAAACCCAACTGAATATGGTCCCAGGCAACATTCTGTAGGTCACCCTACTTGATCAGGACATTGAAGTAGATGATTTCAGGAGGTCCCTTTCACCCTGAATGATTCTGTGATTCTGTGTGATTCTGTGATCTCTCTATTGCAGTTAAATAACAATGGGGGGTTTTATTAAATAACTAGGGTAAATGAAGGCAGAGAGAAGTAAGAGTCAAGTGATATTAAAATCATAAACCTCTCCTCAGTTTCTAGGGGAAAAAAAAGCTAACAAATAACTTTGTCTTAATCTTTCTATTGGACTGATAAGGGTTTTAAACAATGAAAAATACTCCAAAAAGATAACCCTCTGACTCTGACAATGGTAAATTGATAACTACTGTTTTTAAAAAAATCCATGTGTTTTAATGTTTATAGGCTATGAGTATTAGTGACACAAAACAATTCCTATGAGAAGTCTACAGTGTAGAAAGGATACAGAAATTCTCTGAACAAAGGCATCTTATGAATTCTTGACACTGTATAAAAGATGTAGGCAGCCTGTACATTCACTTAGGGTGTAATTCTCCCTGTGAAAAGCCATCAGAAACCTATAAAGCATTTAACTCCCACTTACAGTCTATCTGAAGTGTTTAAATGAGACTTCAAGACTGGCTATGCATCACTCTGATGATCTTTGCCAGAACATAGGGCCTGATCAACAGGCTGATTCATATAGATGTACTTATATATCCAGCAAAGTGATTTAATGGGGTTCAGGATAGATCCAGCGACATCCATTACAGATGTATCAGCCTGAGAGAATCAAGGACATATTCTTCTTCTAAAAAAGTAAAATTCTCAGAGACGTCTTTACTCCTGAAGTTCTGATAGACTTCTAATGGAAACTATTTTCCTGCATTCATTAAAATGATAACAATAATATTCCATCACTGATTGATCTCAACAGATACAATAATCTATGTAATGTGGCAGGTATTTCTGATAGTAAATTATACTATTTTAGTAAGAAAAATCCTCATATTTCCCAGCTTTGTTAAGTATAATGTCTCATACTTTGGAAGAAACTAGTATTAAAAATTCATCCCTTAATCTTACAGAATAATCAGACAGTTACTCTTCCAAAGAATATCTGGGAAGACAAACTAGCAAAAAGTTTTCCTTTCCTTTTTATTTTTTTTTTTTTTTTTAATTAATTAAGATACAGGTTTTGTCCTGCATTTTTGTTTTGCTGCTATTACTCCTCCTTTCCGTGTAGACTTTCTGTGAAGAACCACCCTTCAACCAAATAAAGTTCAGGGACAGTTGGTACTAAATGTAAAAGCAATGATAATTCTACTCAGAGAGGTACATTTCCCCACCACCATACCAAAAATCTTTAAAATGGAAGGGTTGGGTTTATTTTCTATTCCTGGCAATAGCCTGGGGATAATGCAGCCTGCTTCTTCCTATGTGTAGTGGAGTGTTTAGGAAATTATTCAGTCTTCACGGAAAGGAAAAGCAGTCCCATGAGGAAGTATAAACTTGTATAAATGATTTAGGGACACGTTATAGGATTAGGGACATATTTTTGTGGTGGACTTGGCAGTGCTAGGTTAACTCAATCTGTCGTGGTTTAACCCTATCTGGCAACTGAACACCACCCAGACTCTCACTCACTCTTCCCCAGTAGGATAAGGGAGAGAATCAGAACAGTGGAAGCAATAAAACTCATGGGTTGAGTTGAAGACAGTTTAACAGGTAAAGAAAAAGCCACACACTCAAGCAAAGCAAAACAAGGAATTCATTCGCTACTTCCCATTGGCAGGCAGATGTTCAGCCAACTCCAAGAAAGCAGGGCTCCATCACACATAACCGTTACTGAGAAAGAGAAACACCATCACTCCAAACATCCTCCCTTTCCTTCTTCTTCCCCCAGGTTTTTACTGATGAGCATGACATCATATGGTATGGAATAGCCCTTTGGTTGGTTCTGGCCAGCTGTCCCAGCTGTGTTCCTTCTCAACTTCTTGTGCACTCCCAGCCCACTCACTGGTGGGGTGGTGTGAGAAGCAAAAAATCCCTTGACATTGTGGAAGCACTGCTCAGCAGTAGCTAAAACATGGGTGTGTTACCAACATTGTTTTCAACAAAAATCCAAAACATAGCCCAATACTAGGTACTTGTTGTGGTTTGAGCCTGGTCGGCAACCAACTACCATGCAGCCACTCTCTCTCCCTTCTCTTCCAGAAATAAGAAGGCACAGAGAGCCAGGCATGGGGTTCAAGATAGGACTGGGATGGGGAAAAAATCACCCTTTATGGGCACGAGCTAAAGGCAGACTCGTTAAGGGATGAAAAAAAAGAACATACATTAATTACAGACACTAACAACAAGTAACAGAGTAGGAGAGTGAGAAGCATTGCCACATCTTGAGAACACCTTCCCCCCACCCCTCCCTTCTTCCCAGGCTCAGCTCTGCTCCTGATATCTCTACCTCCTCCCCGCAGCAGCGCAGGGGCAGGGAATGGGGGGTGCAGTAAGTGCTGCCACTTCTTCCATCTTCAGTGGGGGGAGCTTCTGGAACTTGTTCCTCCTGCTCCATCATGGTCCCCCTCTCACAGGAGACAGTCCTCCACAAACCTTCTCCAATGTGAGTCCCTCCCATGGGCCGCGGCGTTCCCCACACTGCTCTGTTGTGGGTCACCAACTTTCTCCAGCTGGAGTCCCTCCCATTGCTGCAGCCCTTCCCGAGCTGCTCTGGCATGGGACACCCCCGCATGCTGCAATCCTCCCAGTGCTGAACTACAGCAGCAGGGTCTACCTTTTCCCACAAGACCCCGTCCTTCTTTGGGCACAGCACCTTGATCAACCAGGAGAAAAACACAGGCCATAAATCAATGTCTGTTCCACCATAGATCTCCATGGATGGCGGGGGGGGGCACCCTGCCGTCTCACCACAGGATACAGAGGGGTCTCTGCTCCAGCACACCTCCCCCCTCCTTTCTTCCTCCGTTCTTCCACTGACCTTGGTGTTCACGCAGCTGCTGCAACTCCTCCTCACAATTCCGACTGCTCGTCACTATGCCCCTTCTTAAATATGTTACCACAGAGGTGCAGTTGATTGTCTCAGTTTTCTTGTAGAGGTGGGTCTGACTTGGAGCTGGGGGAGCTTTGAGAAGCTTCTCACTGGGGACCACCCCTGTAGCCCCCTCCCCTGCTACCAAAAAACCCCACCACTCACTCAAACCCAGGACAGCACTATGAAGAAAATTGGCTCTATCTCAACCAAAACCAGAAAATGATCTTAAAGGTCTTTTCCAACCTAAATGATTCTATTATTCTATATGCCATCTGACTTAAGAGGTCTGTATATCTGTCTATTGCACATGTTCTATTTAGCAGACTTCAAGTTGTAACTGGGAGAGAAGAGTTATTCTTCCCTTCATCACTGGCTTATTGCAGGGTGATATTCTAAACCTAATGATTTTCAAGTTTGATAGCTAGAGCTAAATTAAATAGTCAAAGTACAAATATCCCAAAGTTTTGATATCCCAAAAGTGGGAGCACCTAAAGTAATGACTTTCAATTAAAATGTCACTCAAGGAACAGAAGAAACTGCTTGCATTTTTCTGTAAAACATGCATATAAAGCACAACCACTTATCTGTGTCCAGAAAAAGTCTATGTAATTGCAAAATGTTTTATTTTTCCTCTTGATGACAATGATTTAATAACTGCAACTAATGCTCCTTCCTTTTTCAAGCAAAAAAATATGTACAAATGTAGCATACATTTTCTGCATCTGTGTATAAGATGAAACACTTACTGATCAATATGCCATAAAATAAAGAATTAGTATGCAGTAATTTTACATCAATTTATGATACAGATATCCCTTCAAAGAAGAACAGAAATTCAGCATTGTACACTGTGTTTACCAGGACAGTTTCTGTTGGACAGCTTGCTTTCCTCATTTCCCAAATTGTCTTCGCTTTGCAGAAGTGTTCTGTGCTAGCTTGTTGTCTCCGTTTCCAAGATAGTACCTCAAAATATGCAATATATTTTGGGTTTTTAAATAATTTTTCATTTGGCTTAGTGAATTCTTTTGCATAAAATAATTAAATAGGTAATTTTATTAAAACAGTTATAAAGCACCAAGAAATTTTCCAGTCTTCATTCTTTCAGAAAAAAGCAAAAGCAGAACACACCTAATGACTTGTCTATTCAGGTTGTCAACATTTGGCTCAGCAAAATATTTCTTCAGACTCCAATGAGTGCATTGTGTAGGTGTCGTGGTTTAACCCCAACTGACAACTAAACACCATGCAGCCACTCGCTAACTCCTCCCTCCCCTCAGGTGGGATGGGGAAGAGAATTGGAAAGGAAAGGAAGTAAAACTTGTGAGTTGAGATAAAAAAAAAAAAAAATTGAAATAAATTAAAATATAATATAATGATGATGATGATTACAGTAATGAAAATGAATATAACAAAAAGAGAGAGAAATAAACTCAGGAAAAGACAAGTGATGCACATTTCAAATGCTCACCACCTGCTGACTGATGTCCAGCCAGTCCCTGAGCAGTAATTGGGACCTCCTGACCCACTCCCCCCACTTTATATCCTGAGCATGACATCCTATGGTATAGAATATCCCTTTTGCTAGTGCAGGTCAGCTGTCCTGTCCATGCTCCCTCACAGCTTGTTGTGCACCTCCTCACTTGCAGAGCATGGGAAACTGAAAAATCCTTGATTTAAGGTAAACACTATTTAGCAACAACTAAAACACCAGTGTGCTATCAACATTATTCTCGTACTAAATTTGAAAGGCAGCACTGTACCAGCTAGTAGGAAGAAATTTAATTCTGTCCCCGCTGAAACCAAGATAGTAGGAGGTTTATTTAATTGCCAATGCACAGACATCTAATCTAAGGAAGATGTCACAGCTGACTTCAGGTCTGCTTCACAAGGACAGAGTTATTTATGCCTGGTGGCACAACTATTAGACCTAGCTGTATGTCTCAGATTTGTTCAGGTATCTCAAATGACAGTAGATGTATTTGTTCTGAACTGATTAAGTAACCAATTTGAATCCTATGCTCACACATATGTGCAAATGTACCTGTATATAGTCTGGAGCTGAACCTCTAACACTGTAGACCCCTAAAATTAAATGTATGACTCTAGAGCTGAAACCTGGAAAAAAAAATCCTGTGAAACTAAAATGCATAAGATCTGAGTTTATCTATGACATTTGTGTCAATCATATGAAAAAAACGACTTAAATGAGGGCAGGTCAGGATTAAACTACATGTAGCTCAAAATTGTTAGGAAGAAGTGTGAAAATTACATCTGGGAAAAAGTTAATGTGTTTTGTAACACTAATGTTCTCTGGTTCTAAAGGAGTCTGAAGATCTGCTTTTATTCTGTAGTGGGAATAAATCAAATCCTAATTTGGTCCTAGTCCATTAAATTCTACGGTTCGTTAGAAGTATGTTTGCTTGATGTCAGAGTTAGTCACTCTAAGCTCCTTTCTTAGTCACCGGAGAGAAATAGGTATTTGTTCAAATATAAGTATCTAAAATAGGTCAGATGAATCAGACCCTGTAAGCACCTGTTCTGTCCATTGACTATACAAGAGTTTAGTATGACTAGTTCAGATACAGATTCTGTGCTGTGGATATCTATTAAGGGAGATTACTCCACCTTATCAATTTAAGTTTGTTTGATGAGATTAATCCTCCACTAAGAATCTGAGTTAATCGTTTATTTTCAGTACCTCAAAGGAAATGGAAACCAAATGATGTTATTATTTACCTTCTTGAGAATTTGAGGTTCTACATGGCATTAAGTGAAAAGGGTTTTTTATAAAATTGAAGGGAAATGTTTTGATGTATGAATTAAATTCTGCTTCTAAATGTCAGAGTGGTGTTAAATGGAGTTAATTTCTTGGGGAATAACCAGTTTGCTTCCAGCAGTCCAGCGATCTATAGAAAAGTGTTTAATTTGTTTTGATGTGATTATGAAGATCTGTGATAAAAATTTGTTCTCAGTGAAGCTGATATGAATCGAGTTACATTATATGTAATGCAACAAGCAGCACTGGTGCCAGCATGATGAACAGCAGAGCACACTAGCGTGGTGCAGAGTGGGGGTTTCCTGAACCAGGGGAACCTCAGGGCGGAACAGAAACAGCCACTGGGAGCCAGCAGCTTATGCTACAGTGACTGAGAAGACCTGGGTGGGGTGAGAAGCAGTGGTGGCCAAGTGCCACCTCCAATGTATAAAAGATTCCCCTGAGGAGTGCTAGAGACCAAGAGCACTGTGAACAGGGTGGGAAAACAGGGAATGGTGGGTTAGCAAGGGCATGGCACAGCAATTTGCATGGAAGGACATGCAGGAAGGGTGCTGGAGCTCTGTGGGCTCAACCAGGGAGCAATGGTTTCCACCCAGCAGAAGGCCATGTCCTCTCTAAACTGCACCCACTGTGACTGATGCAGCTTCCCAGACATCACTCTGGTGGGAACACGCTGCCATCTGGGTTTCAGGCTGCAGGGTGAGCCCTGCTCTTATACCAGCACCAGACAGCAGCAGCGAGTGCACCTGTGGGAGGTGAGGTCAGGGAGAGGAATTCCTCTGCTTAGTGACAGAGCTCTGGGAGGAGGTGACAAGGTTGAGTATCAAGAAGTGCAAGAGAGAGATAGACTACTGGAATTGCACCCTACCTTCCCTGGGACAGGCCTGTCAGGCAGACAGAATGCAAGACATAGAGGATTCCCTATACTCTCTCCACCTGGATGATACAGTGACTCAAAGGATAGGGGGAAATAGTGACAGGTTCCTGCCTGGTGCAGCAGGCACATCTCCTGTGTGACTACCTCACCTTCCCAGGTGCCCTTGCATAATAGGTACAAGGCTCTGCAAGTGGAATTGAACAATAACAACGACGATGGTTGTCCCCAAGGCTAAGTCGGTCTACACCCTGCATCAAAACAGCTTCCATAAAGAAAAAAGACAGGTCATTGTGATAGGAGACTCTCTCCTAAGGGGAACAGAAGGCCTAATATACAGACCAGACCCACTTCTTAGGGAAGTCTGCTGCCTCCCTGGAGCCTGGGTTAAAGATGTGAAGAGAAAGCATCCTACTCTGGTACGGCCTTTGGATTATTATCCATTATTGATTTTTCACATAGGTAGTAATGCAGTTCAAACAAGAAGTCTGAGGCCAATCAAGAGAGACTTCAGGGACTTGGGATGACTGGTTAAGGGATCAGGAGCACAAGTGATGTTCTTCTCTATCCTTCCACTTGTAGGGAATGACGGGGGAAGAAACAGGAAGAGCCAGCAGATCAACACCTGGCTCCAAGACTGGTGTCACCAGCAAAATTTTGTGGTTTTGATCATGGGTCAGTCTACACATCAGGCCTGCTGGAAACTGATGAAGTACACCCATCTCGAAAGGGGAAGAGGATCTTTGTGCAGGAGATAGCAGGGATCATTCAAAGGGCTTTAAACTAGATTTTAAGAGGGAAAAGGATAAAACCAGTTTTGCTAGAGATAAGCCTGGGGGCAGCACACCAAAGTCTGAGAGACTGTGTGCTAGTGACATCCTTTGGTCTGCCATCTCAGTGGAGGTAGGAGATGCAGATCCATGCAGCATCAAAGACACGAGGGTTATTGATGTGATAGAACCCACGAAAGTGCCTAAGAAAGGTCACATAGGAATTAGGGCTTCAGAAAGTTATTGGGATCAATAGCCCAAATGAAGTGCATCTACACCAATGCAACCAGCATGGTCAACAGACAAGAGGAGTTGGAAGACATTGGGTAGCTGGAAAACTATGATATAGTTGCAATCACAGAAACATGGTAGGATGACTCACACAACTAGAGTGCTGCAGTGGATGGCTATAAACTCTTCAGAAGGGATAGACAAGGAAGAAGAGGTGGTGAGGTAGCAGTGCTTTGACTGTTTGGAGCTTGATAATGGTGATGTAAGGGTTGAGTGTTTATGGGTAAGAATCAGGGGGAAGGGTAATAAGGCAGATATCAGGGTCAGAGTCTGCTATAGACTACCCAACCAGAATAAATAGACAGACAAAATATTTTATAAGCAGCTGGGAGAATCTCACAACTACTAGCCCTTGTTCTTGTGGGAGACTTCAATTTACCAGATATCTGCTGGAAATACAATATAGCAGAGAGTAAACTGTCTAAGAGGTTGCCGGAGTGTGTGGAAGATAACTTCCTGACACAGATGGTGAGGGAGCTAACTAAGGAAGTCGCCCACTGGATCTGTTGTTTGTGAACAGAGAAGGATTTTTGGGTGATGTGATGGTTGGAGACCATCTTGGGCATAGCAGTCATGAAATTAGAGTTTTCAAATCTCAAGGAATTAAGGAGAGGGATTAGAGAACTGCAACCTTGGACTTCCAGAGGACAGACTTTGGCCTGTTTTGAGGCCTGGTTGACAGTCCCTTGGGAGGAAGTTGTGAAGAGCAAAGGAGTCCAGAAAGGCTGGACATGCTTCCAGAAGAAAATCTTAAAGACACAAGAGCAGGTTGTCCCCATGTGCCGAAAGATGAGCCAGCAGGGAAGAAGACCAGCCTGGATGAACAGAGAGCTTTGGCTGGAACTCAGGGCAAAAAAGAGAGTTTATGACCTTTGGAAGAAGGGACAGGCAACTCAGGACTACAAGGATATTGTGAGGTTATGTAGGCAGAAAATTAGAAAGGCCAAAGCCCATCTAGAACTTAATCTGTCTTCTGCCGTGAAAGACAGTAAAAAGTGTTTCTATAAATCAGCAACAAAAGGAGGGCTAAGGAGAATCTCCATCTTTTATTGGATGTGGGAGGAAACATAGTGACAAAGGCTCAGGTACTTAATACCTTCTTTGTCTCAGTCTTTAATAGTAGGACCAGTTGTTCTCCAGGTACTCATCTCCCTCCATTGGAAGACAGGGATGGGGAGCAGAATGAAGTCCCCGTAATCAAAGGGGAAATGGTTAGCAATTTGTTATACCACTTAGACACACACAAGCTTATGGGGCTGGATGGGATCCACCCAAGGGTACTGAAGGACCTGGAGGAAGTGCTCACCAAGCCACTTTCAATCATGTATCAGCAGTCCTGGATAATCAGGGAGGTCCCAGTCGACTGGAAGTTACTCAATATGATGCCCATCTACAAGAAGGGCCACAAGGAGGGTCTGGGGAACTACAGGTCTGTCAGCCTGACCTTGGTGCTGAGGAAAGTTATAGAGCAGATCATTCGGTGTGCCATCACACAGCATCTACATGACAACCAGGTGATCAGGACCACTCAGCACAAGTTTATGAAAGGTAGGTCTTGCTTGACTAATCTGATCTCCTTCTATGACAAGGTGACTTATTTAGTGAGTGAGGGAAAGGCTGTGGATGTTGTCCACCTAGACTTTAGTAAAGCCTTTGACACTATTTCGCATAGTTGTCTCCTGGAGAAACTGGCTTGGAGGGGTATTCACTTCAACAAGACTAAGTGCCAGGTTCTGCATTTGGGTCACAACAACCCCATGTAATGTTACAGGCTTAGGGAAGAATGGCTGGAAAGCTGCCCAGTGGAAAAGGACCTGAGAACGTTGGTCAACAGCCAGCTGACTATGAGCCAGCAGTGTGCCCAGGTGGCCAAGAAAGTCAATCACATCCTAACTGGTATCAGAAATAGCATGCTCAGCAGGACTAGGGAAGAGATTTTCCCCCTGTACTCAGCACTGGTGAAGCCACACCTCAGATAGTGTGTTCAGTTTTAGGCCCCTCACTACAAGAAAGACATGGAGGTGCTGGAGTGTGTCCAAAGAAGGGCAATGAAGCTCGTGAAGGGTCTAGAGTCTAAGTCTTTTGAGGATTGGCTAAGGGAACTGGGGTTGTTTAAGAACCTGGAGAAAAGGAGGCTGAGGGGAGACCATATAGTTCTCTACATCTACCTGAAAGGAGACTGTAGCAAGGTGGGTGTCAGTCTCTTCTACCAAGTAACAAGCAGTAGGAGAAGAGTAAATGGCTTCAATTTGCATCAGGGGAGGTTTAGATTGGATATTAGGAAGTATTTCTTCACTGACAAGGTTGTTGAGCATTAGAACAGATTTCCCAGGGAAATGGTTGAGTCACCATGCCTGTAGATACTTCAAGGACCTGTAGATGTGGCACATAAGGACATAGTGAAGTTGGTGGTGTTACATTTACAGTTGTACTTGATGATCTTAAAAGTCTTTTCCTTGATTGTGTGGTTCTCTGATTCTATGATTATATATTTTATAAGTAAGAGTAGAATTTTTCTAAATTAAGATTTGATGTGTTTTGGTCTAGCAGCTGCTCACACATGATTTGTTTTCAAATACAGATGACAAACTAGGTGAATGTGTAAGTTTCCATAAGTAAATTTTCTCTTCAGTTTTTCATATAAAACAGATAAATAAATGAAAAATAACTGTGTTTTCTGAAGAAAGAAATTCAAGCTCTTCTAGTTTGTTCTTTAAGTAGAATGAAGTATTCTTTTCAGTTATTACATGTTGTCCCTCAATAAGCAAGAGTAGCCATCTTAGGTTCCCTGTGTAGTAACAGGAGATATTTTCAGAGGTTGATTCATACAGTAGATAGAATATCTTTTGCACATTGCTTTCCATGTCTACATTAATGTGTTGAGCATGACAGCATGCCTGCTTTATTCAGTTAGATTATTTAGTCAGCCTGTATAAATACAAACCTAAGAATTCAGGCCTGCATTTTCATATAGATGCTACCGGTACTACAAAAATAATCTAAGACCAAATAAACAAACAAATATCAATGATCAAAACCTGTGTTACATGCAGTTGTTTATGCTGTGCTAAATACATCATGACGTAAATTAAATCTTAATGAATTCATGAAGCATCTGTTTCATATCAAGGAGCCATTTCACAATTTAGACATATTATGAAAAATACAGTACATATATAAAACATAAAATTGATTCTGTTTTGAATCAAAAAGGCCAGTGAACCCACATGAAACTCTATTGAGTTTGCATACAGGTTGGTTTTTTTTTTTTGCAATTACATTTATTTTTTTTTGCTTTGAACAAAAACCTAGAACTTAAGGAAAGTATTCTTCTGTCTTAATTCAATAATAATGTTGCATTTTCAAAATCAGAACAGGGTTGGGACACACAGAAAGTTATGTTCCATGAATAATAGAACAGTTTGGACCACAGTTTTTTGAAAGTAGGTACATGCTTTGCTCTGAACCATGATATTAACTCACAGTGAAAGTAAAATATATCTCCATTTAGTTGTTATACAAGATGTGGAAAAAAATTTATCCTCTGTGTGACATTTGAATATAACTTATGATGGAACTTAAGTTACTGCTTTCATTAGAAGAAAATCCACTGGCTAAGAAATCCTCAGTAGTTCTGTATTGCTAAATAGAAAGGATGAACACATGTCTTTCAGTTTATGACATATAACTCAGAGGTGTCTAGCAGGCCTTTCTGTTCAGATTTCTGTTCTGTTTCATCAGCAACACCACCACTAAATTATTTCCTCAAGTACCTTGTCCTCAAGCATTTGCTAATGGTGAAAATTATCTACCTGGTAAATATACCTGTTTTTTAATCCTCTAGAGGTTTAATAAAGGATAAACAGAGACCCCATGCACTTCCAGAAAAGAAGGTCCCAAAGCACAGGGTATCTTTGTCTGAGTCTTTTCTTTCTTAAGCATTATTAATTCAGCAGATCTCCATTTCCAAGACTGTCCTCTTCTTGTCTTTTATGTTTATCATTAGATTATGTGATTAAAGGTCAGTCACCATAAACTCAGGCCTGGTAAGGATTAGACAAATAAGGATGGGCAGAGGAGTCCCAGTAACCCATGTTTCACAGAGAACAGGGAGGACCCTGACCTGGCTGCT